CACTACGGGAAAGCTCGGGGAAACGTGTCGCTCCTTCGTAACCCAAGACCAGTCGTCGCCAAGAACGTGAGTCCCCCTGGCGACACCAGCGACAATCAAACTGCGGCCGCCACGCGGCGTGAGCGGCCGACCAGGGCAACACCGTTAAACCCGTGTAAGGCAATATTAGAGTCGGGGAATCAAAACGATCAATCAGGACAAACCCGTTCCCCCTTATATCACACGCCCGAGGCGGGTCTTGCCAACACACTTGCTCCGTCCGCCTCAGCGCGCGCCGTACGTCCGCATCGCAGTAGACGCTGTCGTCATCTGTGATGGGGAAGGTCGGTAGCGAGATGAGACGGTCGGAGGTACGCGATGAACACGGGCAAGATCTCACGTTCCCGGTCATCCGAACCAACACCGAATCCATACAACAATCGACGCAATTCTTCTCTCCCAAAAGTGGGTGCATCGAGGGAAGATGATGAACTTCAAGCTTTCTCCCTTGCGGGGGCGTCGACCGTCCGCGCGGACGCAGGCGGTTGACGTCACCGGTATGGGGAGAAGACTCTCCAAGAGCGATGACTATCAGTTCAAAAAGGAAGGCGAGAGAGAGAGAGAGAGAGAGAGAGAGAGAGAGAGAGAGAGAGAGAGAGAGAGAGAGAGAGCGTGAGTTACGTCGAGACCGCGCGCGAGCGCGGGAAAGGCCGTGAAGGGGAGGGGAACAACCGGATCAACACACTCGTACTCCTAAGCAGACAGTCGCCCAGTTCAGTTTCCCCATCCCCACCCGGACGAGTACATACATACATACATGCATGCAATCAACAACCCGCGACAGGACATCTAATCATCCATGGACCTTCGACATCACTCATGTGCACAACCAGCTCCCATCACTCGGGGCTTCACACACACAACATGCATAGACAAAGCAGCAATGGAGATAAAAGAGAGTCCTTCTTGTACACAAAAATTTCAATTAGCTGCCCCCCCCAGGCGCCGCCTTCAAAACTCCCCAAGACCACCGACCACCATAGCCACAAGGCCCTGCTGCAGCCGGCGTCCAATCCCCACCACTGCTCAGTCCCTCTGACTGCTTCGCCCCGAGACTATCGCGGGTCCACCCCACGTCGTCACTCCGCCCGTCCTTGGGCTCGTTGAGCCTGTTTGGCGCCGCGGACTCTCGCGCATAGCTCGTGCAACATTGCAGCCGGGATCAAAGAGGAGGAGAGGAGAGGGTTGCACGAATTTATAGAGCGGGAGGCGGCGGGTTGTCAGCGCGAGGTGCGGGCAGCGCAGGTTGTAGATGAGCAGGACAGGAGGAAGGTGGGGAGAGGGTTCGACCCGCGGGATGGCATGGTCCTACGTGATTGGGGCGTCCGTTCAAGTGGCGCATGGTTTCCCGCTGTCCACATTGATGCGAGCATCCCAACTACGCGGCCAATCACTTCGCGAGGTAAGGATCGAGCTGGGCGGAGGGGAAGACGAAGAGTCCGGCATGGGGAAAATGCGCGGAGCAAGAAGGGAAGATGGCGCGGGGATGCAAAGCAAGAAACGGGGATGCGAGACGCGCGAAGAAATCGGAGCTTAGGCGTGCGCGCGCAAAAATTCAAAAAGTCCCAACCGCCCCTGTTTCTTGGTTTTCATACCGCGGCCGCTATTCGCCCGCGCAGGAGTTATTAACCAAACAAAATGAAAAAGCCGTTTCGAAAAGAAAGAAAAACCCCTGTTTGTCCGCGTCCGTGCCTCGGGGCTTCCGAGGGATTTTTCCTCAGGGATACAGGAAGCCGCGCGGTACGGGTCTGAGCTTATCTCAAGCAACCAGTCATTTGTGGGAAGACACCTATGCTCTATTTGCCATTGAAGAGATGCGATTTTGGATGGTTTGATCTTGGATTCTTTGAACCATTTGATATCCCTAAGCTCCGTTTTATCTATGTTCAGCTGCTTCATCCATCTTTCCGTTACCTTGTCCCTCAGATTGAGTTTCGGCCTGATCATACGGTGGTCGACTTGACCGAAAGGTTGTGTATAAATCTAGTGAAATTTCTGTTGGGTTTGGTTTTGGTGCCCCATGTCCAATTAGCTGGGTCCAAGGGGAGATCAGACATTGGAGTGTTTGGTCTGAAAGCCAGGTAAGTTTGTGCTTCTAATGATAGGACTCTAATTCTAAAGAGATCCTCTATTGGCATCCAAACCGGGACTAGATCTTTGTTTAGAGATAAGACATGATTGTCCCCTAGTATCCAGGGGGCGATGAGGGCCTCCTTATTTGGGGATATGAGAATGACATTTCCTACCGTCTGYGGGACGTCCTTCGACRCCACCCAATMACTTTCCTGGATTATCCTCYCTTTCCTAAGCACTCTGAGCCATTCGACTGGAARTAGGTCTGTGAYCGTGTCCAGGTTTTTTTGTGTGTGTTTACAATGTTTTAGTTTGTTTTGTAGGAGGTGGGGAGAGATCCAGTCTCTAGCGGATTCATCCCATATGTGCCTGATCCTAGATATCCCCCTCCTGACCCAACTTCTCCATGGGGTGTCATTACAGTGCAGTGTGGTTCCATGGTGGTCTCTAATCCATGTGTGGTCGAAGAGTGGTTGTTGGTTTATCTCTTCCCATCGTAGAGGGAAGTGCTTGTCCGGTGGGGTCACCGGCCTCTACTTGATGGTCTTGTTTTGTCAATAAAACGATTAGCATGGCCCCTGTGCAAGGATGACACGCATAAATCGATTTGTGGATTTCGCGCGGGGAGGACAACATGGTTGGGGTTCCGCTTACCCAGACAGATTCTTCAGTCTTTCTGACCCTAGATCACGGGGATCAATGGACGGTCAAGAATGCAGGATCCAGGCAACTGGGAGCCTCTTCTCTTCCAGATATCGCACAAGTCTTAGGGAGGTTAAATTATATTCCTAGGGAAGGGAAAATCCGTAATGTAAAAAAAAAAAAACAAAAAAAAAACGTATTGGCAGTGCGTGTTCGGAAAGGGGGCTGTAGATGTCCTACCTTCTTCCCCCCAATACAACATACAGTCATTATAGCTGTATCTACACTGAAAGATGCCTCAAATACAGCTATAATGACCGACGTCATTATAGCCGTGTCTAGACTGAAAGATGCTGCAAAAAAAATACAGCTATAATGACCCTCCGTTGTAAACGGGGGAAGAAGGTAGTAGTTTTCCCATAGATATCCCAGGGCAGAGTCCCACAAGCGTCCTATAGATGTCCTCCTTAGGCTATAAATGTCCTATAGATGTCCCGGGGTATAGGGCAACAACCGTCCGCTTTCTATAGAAGTCTCAAAAGCGCGGACTTACTTCGAAGTCACGTACTTCACAATCAGTAGTTACTTCATATTGCCAGAATGAGTAGGTACCATACTTGCAAACAGACGGACCGGACATCCGGTCCGGGCCGCTTTGCCGCATGCGGCACCCTCCCCCCGGACCGGACGGACCTGGACCGGACCGGACAGGGCCGTTGTTTTTTTTTTTTTTTTGGGGKGGGGCGTAACTGCTCGTTCGTGCGCCGCGCGGTCCGGCGGTCTGCCGCACGTGCGGAACCGCCCGGACGGCGTCCGCTTGCAAGTATGGTAGGTACTAATTAGAGAAGGCACGTGTAAAGGAGAGCTACCTTCTTCCCCCGAATACAACGTACGGTTTATTATAGCCGTATTTAGACTGAAAGATACACCAAATACAGCTATAGTGACCGTACGTTGTCTTTGGGGGAAGAAGGTATAGTTCCGTAGTCAATTTTGGTGGTCTTTCCTGTCATAGGGGAAGCATTGAAAGTTTTTGACTATCCTGATAAAGACAAGGATTACTTGTATATGTATATCAAAGGGACACAGTGCAGCTCTCAGTTAGTCAATCCTCCAAGTTGGTATTAATCAATGCTATGTAGCTCAGTCCGGACAAAACCATTGCTGGATTTCTGTGTCTACTTTTTTTTTATTTATTTTTTTTTTTATTTTTTTTTTGGGGGGGGGGGGGGGGGGGGGGGAACAATGCTCCAATCTATTCGTGGGGTACTTTCTTTAACAAACCCATGCAAATCTGTCCTCAAGTTGAATTCCCTCAGCATGTGGACGGACGAATCACCACACCCTCGATCATTGATTAAGCACACCAACATAAAGACCACCCAGGGGGAGAGAGAGAGAGAGAGAGAGAGAGAGAGAGAGAGAGAGAGAGAGAGAGAGAGAGAGAGAGAGAGAATATGCTTGACAAAGTCTGCAATTTTAAATCGAGATAACTCTCAGTGCAGAACGCAAGCCACACTTCACTCCAGCTATGAATCCTGAAAAATGCCTCTCTCTCTCTCTCTCTCTCTCTCTCTCTCTCTCTCTCTCTCACACACACACACACACACACACACACACACACACACACACACACCGGATGCACACTTACGCACTTCACAGGCAGGCGAGACTTGGTCTGAAATGCACAAAAACATCATATGCTTTCCGTTCTCGGGGTCACAATCTCCAATTTAACATACATGTATAGAATACTCACATACATACACGCACACGCGTGCACACGCGTGCATACACAATACGAACGCACACTTCACCAGCATCAGCGGCTACCTTACATACAGTATTACCTTCCTTCGGTAAACGTCGTCACCTATGGTTCGAACACACCGATGTAACGTACGTAACTAACACATTTTCTGCTTGCCTGTTTCTTTTGCATACACAAAATTAGCAACCAACCAAGCAGCATCCACTCAAACAACCAACCAACAAATCAATCAATCAATCAACCAACCAATCAATCAATTGATAGAAACGAAGAAACCAAAGTCATCGTCGAGGGAGTACAGCACATCAATCCACCCATTCGCTATCCATCATATCTATACCGATCTGTCAGTTCTGTCTACAACGCAAGAGGAGCCATGATCAGTCATCGCGCTGGCTTGCACGTGCCATGGCAGCCATAACAACGTCCATTCAATCCTTCCCCTTTTCCCGTCCCTTCTCTTCCTCCTCCTCCTCCTCCTCCTCCTCCTCCTCCTCCTCCCACCTGTGTTCTAATCAATGCACAATCAATCATTGCTTGTCAATGAATCAAATGCCCGGTCGTGACATGATCAACAATCGTTGATGATTGTAAAGTTTGTCCTCTTCTTCCACGCTCTCAAATGAAACAATCAATCCATGGCATCCTTAATTCCGATCAGCGACACTTGAAGCTTTACACGGAGGGTGTGTCTATTACCAGCTGCTTCTCCGAACACCTGTGTAGACGCCACCCACCCAAAGGACAGCAGCAATTCGGTTTACATTTCGTTAGCAACGGAATCAATCGTCAGAAACAAAACAACGACGACCAACCAAACTGACCGGCAGAACGACCGGTCCGTCTATCGCCCTGTTTGACCAAGCACCCTTTCCCAGGGCGCGCAAAACCAGCTAGCAAACTCCGCAATGGGACAACCTCCGCAATGGGACCGACTTACAAAATGGTACCAAACTCGAGGAAATGGGACCAAACTCCGGAAATGGGACTGACCGGCTTCACGTATCTAGTCGGTGGTATCCTAACCTTCTTTTTTTTTTTTTTTTTTTTTTTTGAGGGGGGGGGGAAACCTTACCTTCCGGTTCACGGGAGCTGTGCTTCGACAATTTCGCGGTACAGAGGGTCATACGTTCGATTCGCATTCTGTCAGCTTGAGTCAGGAGCAAATTGAGATGAAAGCGACAGCCCCCGTCATGTTACTGGTGACCCCCCGATCACCCGTCATCATGGTCGGGGTTATGCGTGTAGGACAAAGAACCAGTAGCCGGGGGTGGCGGGGTGGGGGGGGGAGGATTGGGTGGGGGGGGGGGTGTTAATCACTCGAATTCCCGCCCTTCTTCCGCAGCTTAGGATTGGGTTTGAATAATTGTCGAACGCCATCAGCCGGAGAGATATCCCATCTCTCCACATGTTTATATATTTTGCCGGTCTCCTTGTCGAAGTAATGGTCCGTCCCGCCCGACGCCGCTAGAATAGGTCTCCATGGAAGTGCCAACACACAGCTGAATCGCCACTTGGTCGTGAGTTTGTCCTCTGCCTCTTGCCAATCTACCACCGTAAGATTAACCTCTCTCATAAAACTCCCTAGATTAGACACGTTCTGTTTGAATCTCTGCCGTCCCTTGAAACTGACGAACGGATCTGCGAACTCGCAATCCTCTTCGTAAATGCCCATCGACATCTTCCCTGTCACGAAATAGGACCGATTGTAATCTGCCCGCAGGGCGGCTATGGCTTCTTCGCGGGATAATCTCCCCTCCTCCTCCTCCTCCCAATCTTCATCTTCCCTCTCCTTGTTCGGGCCACGCACGAGAGCAACGGCTTTGCCGAATGCCTCGGACGCATACCACGCTGCCTTCACCAATGGAGTGGCTTCCTCGTTGGGACTGTCGCTCGACGACGACCGGTCGCCCTTCGTTGCCGCCCTGATGGAAAACCGGCGACCGGTAGATCGACAACCTGGTCGTCGTCCACCGCCGCCAGCCAATCGCTGTCGGCAACGACCGCTGCTACTCCTGCTACTGGTAGCACGCGCATCATCCCTTGAGAGCGAGAAACCCTCGAAAATGCCGATAGCCTGATCATGAAGGTCCATCGCGCTGCGCGCCGCCGATCGCGAGCTCGACCATGCGGCAGCAGCTTTCACGATCGACACGTGCGCACACGCCACCACGGATGCACTCTCCCTCTTCTGCTGCCGGACAACGTATCCCGACTCTCCTCCCATTTTGACACGTGTCCAACTGACCGAGCTCGTCAGTGACGTCGTCATCCTGTCCGTATCCCGATTCTATCTACTATTTTGCCTATTGCCTATCCGCAGCTGCAAATTCTAGAGACGCCAACCTGTTAGCCGCGCCCCTGACTCAGCGGTGGTTTGCTGCTGGTGCTATGTTTTTTAACCGTTAACAACCGGCAGACATAGTCCTCTCCTCTAGCTCCCCCCCCCCCCCTTCTCCAGCCCGCCTTCAAAAAAACAGAAAATCATAAACTACTCTATAATTATGAAATACACGCGTTGGATACATTAAATAGACACACACATTACAAGCTACAAAAACAAAAGAAAACAAAAAAAAAAAACACTTCTTCGAAAAACTTTCTACACGAAACGTCTTCGAAGAAACTTCGAAACTGCTTTGAAACTTCGACTTCGACTTCGAAGTTTCAAAGAAACGCAGGTCTGTTTTCGGGCGCGCCTTTCATATGCCCGTTCGCACGCTGCAGCCGCGCGCGTGGATGCCGCTGGGGTCGTCGGATCTGCGCCTAGCAAGCAGATTGCCTGACTGCGATTGGTCCGGCCTCCATTGATTGATTGATTGATTGATTGATTGATTTCATGGATTGATGAATTAATTCATTATTAATCTGGTTGATTGTTTGACTGTTCGTCTGACTGGATGGTTAAATCGGTTCGTTGACTAATCTGGAAAATGATCTCACCCCTCACGACGCATCTGACTGTACGCGTTGACTTCATGCAATCATATCCACATCCACATCCACGTCTTACTGTATTCAGTCGATGTCAACGTATGAAATCGATAGCTGTGAGGTTGTGATTCTCTGCACATGCTCTTTTTCCTCTTTTCAAATTCTCGGCCTTTTGGCTAAGATAGATCAAGTGTAGCATCTGTTCTGATCAGTTTAGTAACTGATCAGATATTCGTGGTCCATCGGGCCACATTAAAATTTAAAATTAAAATTAAAATTAAAATTAAAAAAATAAATAAATCGTGGGCATGTGTTGCCTGTACGTGGATTACTACAGCGCGGATACGAATCTATTATGCCACGTCATTCATTTCCCTTTTACATTGTTTAATTCCACGTCATCGATTTTACCCCTCGTAGACCCCCACTGGCAGGCGAATAGACTAGCTTAGTTTCCCGCTTCGCCAATCGCTTTGGCCACTTCGGCGGTCGCTTTGCCCACCCCCCCTGGGACTGGGAATTGCTGCCTGCCTGCCTTCATTCCAACAGCCCATGCCGTTCACCCCAGAACCTAAACCACCGAACCGGCGATTCCTACCGGTAGCTCCATTTTGCCGCCCGCTTCGGCACATGTGGGGGACTAATCGCCACACATGTGGGGGAGCTACCCGCTTCGGCACATGTGGGGGACTAATCGCCACATGTGGGGGACTACCGGTAGCTCGTCATGGGTTGCGACATGCAGTGCGCGGCATCGCCGACTGTGCCACGGCTATGCCCAGTTTGTGGCTTGGCTCGCAGTGCTGGTACTGAGGGCCTCATGGCACAATACTTATGGTAAGGCGCTGATCCGACAGTACGTAAAAAGAGAAAAACCAAGAAAGTCCCTTCAAAGATGGACACGGGTCGTGCGGGGCGGAAAAGCAAATTGGGACCCGACACAGGCGGGTTCCGCGGGTCTCCACGGGTCTTTCCCAAGTACCGTGGTGGATTTTTTTGGGCTTCCACGGAGACGGACGTTCCTGTGGTCCGCCATATGCTATGAAACACCCGCGGACTTGTCCGCGGGCCCGATCTCGGATGGCGGCCGCATATGTGGCCGCATCCGAGGCCGGCCTGGTCCGCGCTGCGGACCCGATTTTACAAGATTTTTCGAATTTTTTCCTAAATTAAATAATAGGCAAAAAAAAAAAAAAAAAAAGGGGGTTGTAGGGAATTTTAATCCCTACAACCCCATTTTTTTTTTTCGGAAACAGATAAGTTTTTGGAATTATAGAAAATAAAAAACAGAAAAGGTGGAGAAGAGAAATTGAAAAACAAATTAAAAAAAAAAAAAAAAATGGGATTTTT